CACAAACGACCGAAAAAGAACGACCTAACTTTACCGACAGATCGAAACAGACCAATCACGGCCGACTTACGTCACTTGAGTCTTACAGCCAATAACATCACGGCAAAACCAACCGATCATTTTACACGAACTGGAATAAGAAAATTCTCCTGACAACAATCATTCACTTGACTCTGATGATGACTTCCGCACAGGCTGTCGAAACGTCAGTCACTACCACCGACAACAGTCCTTCTCAGGACTACACTCACCCGGACGATCAGACTACACCTTCACATGTTACCTCCGGGTTCAAGCCATTTACTGCATCAGTGCTATTGTTTATATGATTATGATCATTATTACAGTTGTTATTGGAGCTGCTTTTGTTGTTTATATGATCATTATTTCGGTTGCTGACTGTTTATATTATCGCTAACATCTTAATCATTATCATTATTATTTTGTTTTGGTGTAAGAAGCAGGGATTCCCACAGTCTCCTAAGTGAAAAAAAGACTGAAAGAAAATGAAAGTATGGTACTTGGGGTAACCTTAACAACTTCAACACCTTCAAAATACAAAAGTCCGTCCTTGTTTACAGGTTCTTATTCAGGAGACTGGGGAGAGGCGTATTGTGGCACTTGGTGTTGTGCATAAGTCTTACGACTGTCACAAAATGCCTGGCTGGTATACAGGAACAGTCGGTTACCACGTAGACGATGGGAAAATTTTTGACACTGGCTGCCATAAGCATGGAAGAGAAGTCGAAGGTACGGATTGCTTTGACGACAAGTTTAAGATATCTACAAGAAAGATCAGTAGGCCTTTGGTAACGTAGTCAACGTCTTACCATCCTCCTGAGGATGACTTTGCGACAGTAGGCTCCTTTTTTCAAAGAAGAAATGGATTCAGAAATGTTTGTAAACGTTATGGGGATCGCTTTGAAATCATAATAGATCTCTCGTGATGATTTTTCTGACGTACATTAGGTAAGTAAGGAATGTCTTGTAGTTGTGCGTCTAAGATAAAGTGTTGAACGAAATCCACGTGCCTGGAGTGTGAAACAAAAAACAAAAACCTGGATTCTTCAATCGTGAGGGTGCGAATCCTCGCCTTCTGTTTGCCAATCAAATGTTTTACAGAGAAAACATTACAGGCCTAGGAAAAACTAGATTCATATCAACATATGACACTGTTAGGATCATTGATATTGATAATTCTCGTATAAACAGAATAAGGGAGATTAAACTTTGTCTTCGGATGAACGAAGAGGTAGGTCATTGATCAAGATCGAGCAGCAAAGAAAAAAGTTTAATTTTACAAAGTGTTGTTACACTGTTGGTTACCTTATGTTTGTTCTTGTTTTTTTTTTTTTTGTATCTTTTTGCTATGTGCTAAATTTATAATATTGATCATTTAGGGGCCATGGCTTACCGCGGTGATCTCATCGCCTGTGAGGTTGATTTTGGAGAAGCCTCTAAGGGTAAAATCACTGTGTTCTTCACCTTGAACGGTAAAGAAGTAGAGCATTCTTCGATGGAGTATACCTCAGGAAAAGAACTATTTCCCTTCGTCTCCTTGGGATTTAAAGGCATTACTGTGCTCACGAAGGTATGTTCGAAAGGGAGGGGGGAGGAGGCGGTGGGCTAGAAATTGAGCTGTAAATGGTTTGGCTTCATCAATGATCAACTAACATATTACACCTGGGGAAGCTCCTCCAGCCACAAGGGATTGTTCCTGTGGCTAAGTCAGAAGCATTTGGCGAGGGAGCTCTCTCTACGGTAGCTCTTCGATGCTGGAATCAATTTCCATCATTGAATGGCAGAACTTTGTCGTCGGTATCCAGTGTTGAAAAGACCACGTAAACTTTGTTCAAGTCTGTGTAGTTTTCAAATGTTTGTGAACATTTATAAAACTATCCACCCTGTATAACAAAATGTCTCTGCCCATTGGAGTTTACAGTTCACAACTATGATCATCGCTATCCTAGATATTTTTTTTTACATTTGAAACGTTTGATTTGCGCACGCTTTAGATGTGCCATCGTGACAGAGGCCGTTTCAGTAGAGTGACAAATGAAGAAATTCAGGAGGAAATTGGAACTCTGAGAAGTGATGTTCAGCATCTACTTGTCGAGCAAGAGAGGATGTTTTCGGAAATGAGAAATTTAATACTGCTTTCGAAGGAAGTAAAGGATAAAGAAGAGCAAGAAGAAACTACTTAGAAACAGGCTGATAATTTGAGTTAAGTCTTCGGATAATAATGTATTGTGCGCAGTTTGATGGATCAGAGTTAATCAGTTGTAAGCTTGCAGCTATAGTTTCAACATTTCCTGAATTTTTCAATGGAGGGTGGAAAATAAAGTAGCTTTTATCATCTCTGTAATTGTTCGAGAACACTGATTTATTTAGCTTAGGCTCAATTTATTTTTGTATGTCTGCTGCTAGACACGTCCTTGCAAATTATTTGGAAGAATGTAAAGTTAAATCAAGAGATCATTTTGCTAATGAGTTAATGTGT